CCCCTTCCCCCCGCAAGCCGTTCTCCTCTTCTTCCTTGCTGTCATGTCTGGCTTGGCAAAGCAGCCCCCCCCCAGATAACATTGCCCAGGCCCCCCAGTCTCACTTTAACTATGCTTTCCAATTTGCTGAAGAGCTTAGATCCCTTTGCAAAGACATCAGGTGAAGATTGCCTTGTCTGATGCTTTGTGAAGGCCCACGAGCAGTGTTCCCTCTAAGCTGAGTTAGTGTGAGCTAGCTCACAGATCTTTAGCCTCTGGCTCACACATTTTTTTGTCTTAGCTCCGGAAGGATGGCTCCAGAAGAGCAAACTCATTTATGCATTGGCCATATCGCTCGCTCACAACTTTAATGCCAGATGGCTCCAGAAGAGCAAACTCATTTATGCATTGGCCATATCGCTCGCTCACAACTTTAATGCCAGTCGCTCACAAAGTAGAATTTTTGCTCATAAGACTCCATCGCTTAGAGGGAACATTGCCCACGAGCCCTGCTTGTGAGGAAGGAGGCCCCTGATAATGTAGCATGGGGTTATCAAGGTAATCCAAGAGATCTGTCATGAAAGCTCTGCCCTCATTCTCCATTTTTATTTTTAAATTGCTAGTCTGCTTCAGCACAGGCATCATTTATACAGTTTCTGGCAGCTTGCCTCCCATTCCCCCCCCCCCCAATGTTTTTGAATTGGAGTTTCCCTAGTTTTGCAGAAAGCACAGCTGCAGGTGGGGCCCCATTGCAGATTTATAGATCCACAAGGAGGGAGGCGTACTTGTGATTTAGATGTATGATGGCAAACTGGTTTGTGCAAAAGTAGAAATAGCTCTGTCGCCTGTAGAGATGGTGGGGAGAGGGATTCCCCAGGCTTTCTTGTTTCCACGTCTGGCTCAGTAATGCAGGGCGAACACTGTTTGGAGGCTGAATGCCCGGTTGCTGATCATCCCACCGTTCCTTTTGGATCCTGCTTTGTAGCCGTAGACTTCCTTGCAGCTCCTGGTCGGAGTGGCCCAGCTCTTGCTGTGAACAGTCCCAAATGGAGTGCTTAGAAATGGAGATGCTGCTTGGAATCAGTCGGAGTCTCTAGCGATTCTGTGTAACACAGCCAGAGCGGCTTTTATGACTTTGGAACTTCAGTTTCAACAGCATTCTATTCATTTAACTTTCTCTGCATGTTAATTATTTAAAGAATTTACCAGTAGTTGAATTAACTGAATGAAATCTTTTTAAAGCCTCTCTGTAAAATGGGATCAGATGTCACTGGTTATTCTGGCAGGGCCACTTCCGTGTGTACCTTTTAATGTATAAATGGGGTGGGGGGGCACAGTTGTCTTTTCCCCTCTGGGCCCCCACCCATTGTGGGGGGGGGGCCTTCACATAACATTCACGAGACTGAAAATGTTTGCCTCCGTATTAACTGTAAATGAAACGGCGCACCTGCTTCAAGTTGTTTCAAATCTGCTGAATGCTGTTCTTTTTGCTGTGGAGACTCAAAGGGCAGTCAGATATTTTGCTTAGTCTGAGAAATGTCTGCCACAAGGTTTTGATATTAAATGTCAATCGACTGCCTTCAGAGGACGGAGCGCATCCCAGAGACAAACCCCATTAAACTCGTGAGACCTCCAGAATTTCTTGTAATGGGGAAAAAGTCTGTTCCTCCCTTGTCCCTCTCTTCTTCTTGCAAAGCCTCCTGCGGGAAACTGGGGTGCGATTCCAGTGCAGTCTAGTTTGTCTTGTGGTGCTGCTGCTCTACAGCCGCCACCTGGAAGCTCTACTTAGCGTGCTAACGTAGGTGTCTAGTTTGTGGTTCATTATCATTACACTGCAGTTCTGCAGTAGGAAGAGGAGTGTTTCATCTAGGCAGATGGAAAGGGAAGATAATGGTCTCTCTTTTGGTACGTGCTGGTGCTATAGCCGACACCAAGTTTGCTTCTACAAGTGCATTCAACCATTTTAAATGACTGCAAGGAACCCTGGAACGATAGTGGTGTTAAGGCGCATGAGAGTTCCGTTCTGTAGGCCCCCTCGCAAAAGTGCTCCCTTGGAAGGGAAAAAATATGCCCATGAAAAGATACCTGTGCTTGCAGTTGGACATATGCAACCTTAGTTCCTTCTCATTTAACAGTTTAAACTAGGGACGTGCAGTCAGATATTGCTGATGCAGTGAAATGCCCCATATTTCCAGGACTGGATCAGCAATACTCATTCTTGAGAAAGGCACTCTCAATATTTCCAGACTCCAGACGAATATCAAAAGTATCTGGAACTGGGCTGGAAGGCCTTTCTTTCTGCTTTTCGGCAGGCAGTGCACCGGAGCCTGAGTCTACCGCCTCGTCACACAGTATCCTGTTGAAGTGTCCAGGGCCAGGGCGCCTTCGCCCAGCTGGGCATGCTTTGCCTCCCTCCTGCTCCTGTGGCCTAAGATTTTGTAATTCTGGAAAGGGCATCATTATTGCTTTCACTCAATATTATGCATGGGAAAGAGCAGGTAGAGAAAGAGGTACTTTTCTCCCTTTCTCACAGTACAAGAACTCGTGGGCACTCCATGAAATTGCTGAGCGGTCGGGTTAGAACGGATAAAAGGAAGTACTTCTTCACCCAAAGAGTGATTAACACATGGAATTCACTGTCACAGGAAGTGGTGGCGGCTACAAGCATGGACGGCTTCAAAAGGGAATTAGATAAGCATATGGAGCAGAGGTCCATCAGTGGCTATTAGCCACAAGGTATAGATAGGGGCTCTGGGGCAAGTGATGCTCTGTCTTCTTGGTGCTGGGGGGGGGATCAACAGTGGTAGGGCTTCTAATGTCCTGGCCCCACTGGTGGACCTCCTGATGGCACTGGTATTTCTGGCCACTGTGTGATACAGAGTGTTGGACTGGATGGACCTTTGGCCTGATCCAACATTGACATCTCTTATGTTCTTATGTTCTTAATATGGAAAGTATTGATTTTTTGTCAATATTAATTTAAATGGAGATTTCCCCCAACACAACTGTTAGATCCTGTATCAACTTTCTGGTATTTAATTAAAATGATAATCATGCTCTTTTGATACGGCTTTAGAGCAATCATTTTTGATGTGCGCTCCTAGTTCAAGCATAAAAGGTTAACTGGGAGTGTGTAGCAGCTTGATAGCAGCTTACACAAAACATCGTTTGTTGCTTAGTTGCTGTGTCTATTTGGGGAATACAAGAAAACCTATGTTGCCATTAGAATTCAAAACTGTCAGGAGCGATTAAGGGGAAGTCATGGAACTTCTGTACTTAGTTATAGCTGCTGGCCTTTTTTTGTATGCCAATTGAATTGCATTTCTACATCATACGGAAATAGCAAATTCCTTTCTCGGAGGAGGTTTTGTTCTGGATAGCAGGGTACGGTAGGCTAGTGGTTTATATGGCTCAGCAGGCGCCCCCCCAAAAAAACAACAACAACCACAACCCCAAGCACGGATGTTCGTTTCTCAGCTGCACCAGTTCATAAAATGGCTGCTCCCTAATTTGTAGTCTTTAATCATTTGTACTCCCAGCCACTGACGGACAGCATGCTGTGATGCGTAAACCCGTCTTCTTGAGAGGTTGCTCACCAAGCATCTGTTCTTCAATAACTGGGCCTCCTGGAACCACATTAGCAGCCTTGGAGGTCTGAGAAAGTTGCTCTTTAAAACATGGCCGCTGTCAATCGATTCTTCTGTTTATGTTCCTTGGTAGTGATTTTTCATTAACTTCAACCAGGGTTTACTTAGGGGTGGGAGGGGAGATGAACATAAAGCAATAAATGATTCCGAAAGCATGGAAACTAGATACTTTTAACCTTACAGTCTGAATGTGGTTTTCCTGTTTGTAGCCGAACTAGATGCAGAGCATGCGCAGAAGGTGCTGGATATGGAGCACACCCAGCAACTGAAGCTCAAGGAGCGGCAGAAGTTCTTTGAAGAAGCTTTCCAGCAGGACATGGAGCAGTACCTCTCCACGGGCTATCTCCAAATAGCCGAAAGACGAGGCAAGTGCTGCCAGCTTCCCCCGCCAGATTCTGTAGGCACACCGTTTCCAAGCCGGGTTGCCAGAGCGATCCTTTGGGACGCTCGGAGACTATTTAAAACTACAATCCTGGAAGCTCAGATAAAATGTATACTGCAGGCTAGGAAAGGTACAAATAGGTATTTAGAAAAGCCTGCATGGTTAATGAACAAAGTAATGGAAGCAGTAAAAGGCAAGGAGGATTCCTTTAAGTGGTGGAAGGCTAGTCCAAGGGAGATAAATAAATGGGAGTGCACGCTTTGGCAAATAAAATGCAAGCGGGTGATCAGACAGGGAGAAAGAGACTATGAGGAACATATTGCAAAAAG